AAAATCAGGCTGAGTTACTTATTGCAAGACTCTTCCTCACTGAGTTAGGTCTTGCTACTATCTAGATAGATAACCCTAAGCCCGGTCCCTCTTAAAGATAAGAAGTGAGAATACTGAAATTGGGTTAAACTCCTACATGGAAGTTTTAATCATGTACAGAATGGCATTAGGTGGCTAAACCTTTACCTTTTCTAAACTGTGTAGCTTTTTCTTGCTATTGTGTACTAGAACAAGAACACAGGAATGAGATATCCTTGTGGTTCACAAGTATTGATTCTCTTAGACTTGTGTGGCCCTGCCGAAGCAAACCTGTCTTCTCTGGTTTCACGAGTCTTTTATGTATCTCTGGAGAGAGAATGGGGGTTCTGCTAACAGAGCATTGTAACCAGACACTGAACATGACTTTTTTAAACTTCCTTGAATAGCACTTGCTGGACAAATTATGTAAAGAGATAGAAAAGGACCTGCGCTTATCAGTTCATACACACCTAAAGCTGGATGACAGAAACCCCTTCAGAGTTGGTATGAAGGATTTGGCTCACTTCTTCTTTCTGAACCCAATACGTTTTTTCAATCGATTCATTGACATAAGAGGTGAGGAGTTACGCGTTTTCTTGATTCCATTGCTTTTGTCTCTGTTACACTTTGGCTTAGTATATCTTCACTTTTTTCCACACTTGCCTAACTAAATAGGTAGTATTATTTTAGTTCATCCTTGTATATGTTTACAGCTTATGTAACTCACTATTTGGACAAGACCTTCTACAACTTAACAACTGTCGCTCTTCATGACTGGGCCACCTACAGTGAAATGAGAAACCTAGCAACTCAGCGCTATGGTTTAAGTATGACTGAAGCACATCTTCCCAGCCAGACTCTGGAACAGGTACAGTGCCCGCAGGATATGAGTATCACTTGCTCACTGTCACACTAGCTAGCTATTCCAAGGGCCGAGTTGTTGAAATGAAAGTATCTGAGTAGAGAACTGTTTGGCCTTTGATTTCTCATTGAGTTCTCAGACAGGATCTTTGTCTACCTTTGGAAATAACACTGAGATCGGTTAATTTCATATTGGACTTGTGGGGTATCATTCATTTTTTAACATAAGATTTAATAAAATGAAGTTGGGGAATACAAAATCAGAGAGCGTTTTCTTGAAAATTCAGTATTAGCAATTTGGCAAGCAATATATCTGGAATGTAAGTCTGGAATGATCTTTGAATGATGGGTCTTTTCCCTGGTTTATTACTTGCTTCTCAGGAGGTTCTGCTTAGTGATCATCAAGAGAAACTTTCACAGACTGGACATCGAGGACTTTGGGACATCCGTGCTTAGCTTAATAGCTAAGATAATAGATTCAGAGCATCCTGGAAAGTGCTAAACACGGTTACATTTAGATTAAAGTTTTAGTTTCATCAAGTTAATGGTGAAGGCATTCACTTGTTGTAGGGTTGGTGAAAAAGAAATACAACTTGTGTATTTCTGAAGACTTTCCTTCAGTAGTTTTGGTATCTTGGATATTTTGGCAGTTAGCTTCATTCCCTCATTTGGGTTAGCACATTGGTGAAAGCACTAAAATACAGCCTCTGTTTTCTAATGTTCATGATGGCTGTGTCTTCCTAAGTTAAAAGAGGGCATAGAACTAAGAACTGTAGCTGCTTCTTGGTACAAAAATACTGTGGATTTGTTTCTATTTCTGCCTTTGGCTTTACGTTGGCAATATTTGGCCATCACATTATTATAAAGAATTAAATCATTTCACAACATAGGTTTCATAACATTCATTCTGGTATGAGCTTTACTTCGAACCAACGACACCCCACACTACATTTTCCCCCAGCTCCAGCAAAATCCTGGTAAAATCCTTGGCACAACTGGAAATAGAGTGTACAGATTAAATAGCATCCTTTCTATGCACATGGATGCTAGAGGGACTCCTTCAAGCAAAACGATTGTAAAATTTATATTGTAAATAAAAAACTTCAGTCTTCTAGACAGGTTGGACAAAAGATATCAAAAAGTAGCTAGTTGCTTATGTCTCGGTAGAAATCTACATATCTATAGAAATTTCTAAGGCAAGATTCCATTTTCTGGAGTCTGAGAACAGCCAAATTTTTTTTTTTTTTTTTTTTTTTGTGCAGGGGGAGGGCTTGTGGAATAGACTGGGGGATTCCTTTCAGGGGAAGTGTAAATGTTAAAACGTGAGCTGAGCTTTTTTCTCCTCTAAGAATTATCTTACAGACAATAAACAAAAATTGTTAAGCGATTCTTCATTTTGTAAAGTGAAAACATTGCTTTCTAAAATGCTTTCAAGTAACTACAGAGATAATATTCGCATACCTTAGTGGTTAGGCATGTTGGTAGTTCTTGAGAATTTTTATCTTAATAGTTCTCAATAGATAATATTGTTTCAGGGCTTGGATGTTTTGGAAATCATGAGAAATATTCATGTTTTTGTATCCCGCTACCTCTACAACCTGAATAATCAGGTAAGGTATATCCCGTAGTTTTTCCTGGATTTGACTCTGATTTGAAGGGATTGAGAAGTGCAGAGTAGTAGAAGTGTAAGAAAAACCCAAGATGAACATGCATAATAACAAGCTGTAAAATAGCTATTGCTGCTCTAGAAAAACATCTTTGGGGATGCTGTAGATATGCTTAGAGAACGTCCTCTGAGACCTGTTTTGAGTGTGACGTTGCCAGTAGGATCATTCCATGTCAAATATTCCACTGAAGCTGGGAGAAGGCAGCAAAGATAGTTGGCTGCTATATAAGGACATACTAAGTATGTGATTTTTCCACTTGAAAAAGGGTATCTGAAAATGGGTTATTAGAGAGATGAAGCAGTGAATGGCATGGAGAACATGTACAGGGAACAACACTTTGTGGTTTCTCACAATGTGGGAATGAGGGGCCCACTACAAAAAATGAGCAGCTTCCTTAAAGAGAAGGAAGTGCTCTTTCTCATAGCATTTAATTCAGTGGTGGAATTTGTTGCCATGTTATATAGTGGGGCTGAAAGAGTTTAGACCCATTAATGTAGGATATAGTCTCAATAAATACAAGAGTTTGGGTGCAACATCCACCTTGGAATTGTTTAATCTCTGCTTTGCAGAAAGTATAAGAACCTACTACATAAAGTTCACTGTATGCGTACTCTATTTTCTTGATTCTTTCAAACCCTAACCACCAGATATTAGCTGCTCTCAGAAACGGGATATGGACTACCTGGACTGATAATTTATCATTGAGTCCGTTTTGGATAAATAACTTTTTTCTCCCCTCTCCCCGTCCCTTGCTTCCCAGATCTTCATTGAAAGAACAAGTAATAACAAACACTTGAACACTATCAATATCCGTCACATTGCTAATTCGATTCGAACTCATGGAACAGGAATCATGAACACAACAGTGAGTATTTTTTGCACTGTTGTTGGTTGTTTTTTTAATAGTGCACAAAAGCCTCCAAACTCTTGTGTCTCCTAATGGTTTATTTGGTTTTGCAGTTTTAATAATGTAATAATAACGTTCTCTGTGTATTAATAAAACAAATTAGTTCTTGGACACAACACGGATCCATATCAGAAGAACTCTCGGGAGTTATGCCACTTCCAGTTCTTACAAAAAAGTTAACGAAGAGATCTAAAACCATATGAAATACTGAAATTAAGAGTCCCACCAGAACATCTGTGTCTTAAAGAAATAATACTTATCAAACTAGCACAGTAGAATAATTTAATTTCTAAGCTGCCTGCATAAATTAGCATGCTGTAAGATTCCGCTTATTGACACTTAACTGCAGCAAAAGTATCTGTCTACTGGAGCAAATCTTGGAAAAAATGCAATGTTAACTTTTTAATTTCATCGTGTAATTGTTAAGCTTAAACATCAGCTTTTCAGTTTGGGAAATAAAAGTTACAAATCTCTGATAATTTATTGGAAGACTGATTTCTTACTGCAAAACTCTTAATGATGTCTGTAGTGTAGATGGTCATTTTAACCAGTGGAAGGCACTTACTTCTTTGCAAGGTAAATAAGGGTGCTTGCAGTTGCTTACTTACTGCAACAATTTATGTTACTTAACATTATGGATCTACTACATGGAACTATTTTCAAATTGGTGCTTTCCGGTCTGCCGCTCAACTTTCTACCTCTGCTGCTTTCTTTTTCCCTATCTGGCCTTATAAAAAAAACCCAAAACTTGCTGAAATATTGAACCCACTCTCAAGTTGCTACTTTAAAAGTGGAAAGTATTAGAAAAGGTTTTCATGACTTCTGGCGTTACTGGAAATAACTTCCCTTGCGCTATTATTCTGAGAGTGGGGATTTCGGTTACTCAAAAAATGCTGTTATATTATTTACTGGTGATGTAGGTTTATTCACTTCTGATTGTGGGTAAAGCTGTTTATACAGACATGAGAAGTAATTGAGATATGTAGGGTGGAAGTGTGTTTCTGTCCTGTGGGAGGGTGTTTTAGCAAACTTTGAGGAAGTGAAAAGGTGTGTCAGGAGGGTTATGTGGATCCCACAATGTGACTGGGGAAGTTAAGCTTGTGTGCCCTTTTCAACTTGAAATTATTGTATTACTTCAAAAGGACAGTTACAGGATATTCCGGACATAAACTAATGGCTGCATAGGGCAAGTCATTGAACTGAAATAGCTAACTTGTCCCTTGGTCCCTCTGCCGTTACTGGAAGAGTAGGACTTCCAGGAGTAGAGTTTTATTTATTCTTTTAAATCAGTGAAATTAAAATGGTAGGTTGAGAATAACAAATTGAAGTAAACTGAATAGAAGGTTCCATATAAAGTTACTCGGGAATCTATTGAAAATGGGTTGCTAGATACAGTTGTTACTTTGCTAGCTTTCTTGATTTGACTATTTTTTTTTCTTCTAGGTAAACTTCACTTACCAGTTTTTGAGGAAAAAGTTTTATATTTTTAGCCAGTTCATGTATGATGAACATATCAAATCCAGGCTTATCAAAGACATCAGATTCTTCAGGGAAGTCAAGGATCAAAATGATCACAAGGTATAGTAATTTCTGAAGGATTAAGAGGAACTTGGCTAAAAGAACTGCCACTTTCATGTGACTGAAGGTGCACCAAACCATAACATACTGTTTAAACGTGTATCTCCAGACAAAGTGACACCTTTTGTCCTAACAAAATGCAGTATAACAAATGCTGCAGTATTACAAATTCAGGATGCCCTTGTTTCATTTTGGCTGCTCTGTAAATATGGGGTTGACTAAAATCATTCTCAGTGACTTGAAGGCAATAATTTAATGGAGTCGTAGTCTATTGGAGGTTCTAAACTTCTGTTCCAAATCATGCCCAACAGTTTTCAGTTTTGAGTAATAAGATTATTCAAATTGAATCCATAATGATATGAAGATGTAGCACTTATTCGAGTATCTCAAGAGTTGGGGACTAGGATCTGATTTTTCCATGCTGGAAAACTGTTTTCTCAAAAATGCGAGACAATGTATTTAGTAAAACAGGCTGCCAGCTTCTTTGTATGTCAAGTGCTTGCTTCTTTTTAGGAATACTTTCTCATTCACAGTAATGCTTCTATTATATTCTCAGCTTGCAGAAGTGACTTAGCCAAATGGCTTTTGTGATCTAATATATATAATTTATAAAAAAAAAAAAGTAAACCAACCAAACTGTAGATGTGAGGCAGGAATACATTGCAAATAGAATTGTATTGAAATGATGACGAAATACTTTTTTTTAAGGATAGGAAATTATTCTTACAAATTATTCTAAAATATTTTTCTAGTATCCATTTGAAAGAGCAGATAAATTCAACCGTGGCATCAGAAAACTTGGAATAACCCCAGATGGCCAGAGCTATCTTGACCAGTTCAGACAACTCATAAGTCAAATTGGTAAGAAATGCCATCTAAGACAATGTTATAAATTATATGAAATGGAAGAGGTCTTCATAGTCTAGTTACTGAACTTTTAGCTCAGACTAAAACTAGGTTTAACTCCAGTCAGATAGAAAGTACCCCACGTGAAATAAATACTCTTGTCTAATCTAAAATACGTCTTAATCTAAAATACAGCTACAGCTTGCATTGGTGCTTGTTTTCTTTTAAGGTCTCCTTTTCTTTATGTTATGGAACTGACTTTTATCCAGATTAAGTGTATTTCCCAGTAAAAAAAAAATAGTACATTTAAGTTCATATATTTCAGAAAATGGCTGTACATGCAGCTGAAGTAACTTTGAGTGATGCATGACATTAAATGGTATTTTCAGCCATTGATGCTGTAGATGGGGAGGACTGATTTGAACTTGCAAGTGTTTAATGTGCCCAGTGGAAAGAGTCTGTGCTACTTGGCCCTTATGCTATCATGAAATTGAACAAGACCTTGCTAGATGATGCATTTGTATTTTATTTCTCTGTATAGACTTTTGCTACCAGGGTTCAATGTAACTTTTGTAACTTGGCTTTTAGAATGGTTTCTTTGCCAAAACTATATGGTAACTTTAACATACATTTCAGAGCTTACTGGAGTTATAAAGAGTGTGTGTGCAAATTTAAATAATTATAAATTACTTCCTTGTGTTTTGTTTTTTTTGCTCCTTCTCGTTCCTCTGCTCCCTATTCATGCTGATATTCCCTAGGTTCTTACCCATCCCCCATAAATTTTGATTATAAAGGTCCATTTTTATGCCTTCGTTGAAGTGGAGTTATCAAAACTAGTGCTGAAATTCAGAATTCATTGCCATAAACCACCAAAAATTGAACAAATTCTGTGGAAAAACACTGCAAAAGAGTTAATAGAATGTACATCTAAGTCATTAGTCCTTAATCAAATCAGTAATTCCTGAAGTTAATCACTTTGAGAGAATGCATTAAGGAAAAACAGTACAAGCCTTAAGGAACTTGGAAAGAACGTTTATTTGATACTTCTTTGTGTATGGGTGGTTGTCTGTGTTTATATTAGGTCATTAAAAAATAGTAAATTAGTTATCAAGTGCAGCAAGTGCTAGAGGCAGGGGATGGTATGATATAAGTAGGTCAAGCCCAGAAGACTAAATGAACTAAATTATAAAATATGGTAGATACTTCAGTGAACACAGACAGTTGAACATAATACTAACAAACTGTAAGTTTTCAGGTTTGTTCCTGATCTGGAAGATATTGTTAACTTTGAAGAGCTGGTGAAAGAAGAAGGACTCTCGGAAGAAACACAAAAAGCAGCAAGGTACCCTAACATCATCCTTTTGAGGTTTGGGGCAATTGTAATTTTAAAGTTGTAAATGCAGCTGTTAGTTGCATTTTTGCGTGTGTGTGTGTGTATGGTAAAAGTTCAACAGAATTCATGCCAAAATATTTGCTCTTCTTAAAAACAGAGAAAATAGAAGCAGTTGTTTTAAAAATGGTGAATGTGAAGTGGCATTTTGGGAAGCTCAGATTGGACATTAGGAAAAGGTTTCTCACTGAGAGAGTGGTTGGTTGCTGGAACAGGCTTCACAGGGAAATGGTCCCAGCACCAAGTCTGTCAGAGTTCAAGGACCATCTGGATGATGCTCTTAGTCATAAGGTTTAGTTTTAGGTAGTCCTGCAAGGAGTAGGGGGTTGGACTTGATGATCCTCATGGGCCCCTTCCAACTTGAGATATTCTATGATTTGTACTAATACACTGTTAGACCCTGATTTCTTGATAAAATCCTCGTAGTTTAAAAGCTAAGCTTCCTCACCACGTGTCTGACATCTGCTTTTAGAATGTTCAGGGCCTCAGGAAAGTATTCGTAAACCTTTTTTGAGGAAATTAAATCAAGAAACATGATTCAAGGTGGCTGTAGAGGTAGGGTTTAATCTTGGACACTCTGGTCTGAATACTGACCAGTAGCCAAAGGTTGGAGCGAGGGTTATTACCCTGAAGGGTGAGTAAGCAAGGAAACTTCTATCAGAAGCCAGGTAACATTGCTTATCCTTTGCAGGCAGTTGGACTCTGTCCTCGGTGACCTCACGCGTAACTTTGCAGAAGGAACAGAATACTTCAAGATGCTTGTGGATGTATTTGCTCCTGAATTCCGCAGTCCAAAGAATATGCATTTGCGGAACTTCTATATAATTGTTCCCCCACTGGTTAGTATTTGCACTGTGTGTACCAATACTTATTTTAAAAGTAGCGCATCAGGTTTGCGTTTAAATATTTTGTACTAGGCTGTTGATTATCATGTTCTACTTTCTTCCCTGATTATGAGTGGGATAGCTTTGAGCGTAGCTTTGTTGATAACTGTCCAAAGCCACTTTTTCCTCTGTCTACATCAATTTGTGTACTAGCACTCAAAAGGTAACTTAAAAAACTTCTTTTCCTCCCGTTTGAATCAAATTTGGAGAAGCCAAGATGAAAAAAGAGGAATTGTAACAGCAAGGATGAAGGGAATTTAAAACTATGTTCTTCAGCTCTCTCATGCGTGTGCTCTTTCTGCATCACATGAAGTATCTTTAGGCTCCTTTAATGTCATGATCTAATGCAGTATGACTGGGGCATTCCCTGTTGCAATTGGACCTGCTTCTGCTAATGAGCTTTGTTTAGAACGAGTCCAACTGAATTGAGGTGATGCACACTTGAGTGCAGCATTCTAGGCATTTGGAAGCAGTTGGGTTTGAAGGCCCAAGTCATCTAAACAGATGCACGTGTAACATCCCATTTTAGAAACTAATTTTGGAATGTTGATAAGCCATAAACTTAAGACTGAGAAGACAGGTATGTGATGGTGATAGAAGTGAGAGAATGTAAAGGCTCAAGACAAATGCTTTTGTTCTTTTTCCTTCCCATTTGTGAAGTTTTTTCTGATAAATATAGTTTCAGGAATGTGCGATCCATTTTAGTTTTAAAAAGGCATTTCAGTGCAGTTAAATTTGAAACTGTCATAGGTTTTCGAGAAACACATTTCCATGTCTCAAGAGCAGTTATTGCATACAGACACATATGTATTGCTTGGTATTACTACCTGGATCTATTGTTCGTTATCATCGTAAATGTAAGACTATTGCAATATTTTTTACTGTATTCTAAATAGAGTGAAATAACACACTGTAGCTTTAAAACACTAATATCTTAAGGCTTCCAGGAGCCTGGGCTAGTTTAAGATTCCTTTACTTGTTTACATATTTACCTTTAGTAGTCATCAAGAGAATGCAAAGTAATAGAGCCTGACAAGACCAGCAAAGATAAAAGATGTTCCTTTGTTTTTTTTACTTATGCATACATATGTATATGCAAACGTTTTCCAAAGCTTAACTTGCTTTCTTCCCCAAAACTCTAAAAAAAGGACAAGTTTTCACACAAAAGTGCCTAATGATGGGAGAGACAATAGTTTTGGGCATGGAATTCTATTTGGAGTTAACAGCATGCATGTGAATACCTTTTAAAATTTGTAAGTCTCTCTTGATGATTCCAAGACAGCTTTTCACCCTTTCAGACCCTCAATTTTGTAGAGCATTCCATCAGTTGCAAGGAGAAATTGAATAAGAAGAACAAAAGTGGAGCAGCTTTCACTGATGATGGGTTTGCCATGGGTAAGTTTCGGCATGCCGACTAGCCTTTGGGTAAGCCAACATAATGGATATTTGCAAGAAAACTTTTGTTTATATTTTGTGTTTTTCCATAATTAAAAATCCAGAACTTGAGTTGTCTTTGCATCAGCACAACGGATTTGAGGGCTGTTGCTTTGTTCAGAATCTGCAAAGCATCAAATAGCTGAGTATGGGACTAGACAGTTTTGTCATATGTTGGTGCTCCCCAATTTCTTTCAAAGCTTGCAGATCTCAGCAGATGAGAAGGTATCCCAGTCTTTGGATAAGTTATGAGGGTTTCAAAAATGGAAGCTTGTTCTTTATTATGATTTTTTTCCTGTTAGATTTAATTGTAAATTAATTGCAATTTAAATTTTAATTGGGTGGGAATTATCAACTTAGGCTTATCCATTAAAGACATGCACAAAAATATTTTACAAATTACACGTTAACTTTGGTACATGGTTTGTTAATGACTATAGGTGTGGCTTACATTCTGAAGCTTTTGGATCAGTACCAGGAGTTTGATTCTCTGCACTGGTTCCAGTCTGTCAGAGAGAAGTACGTGAAGGAAATAAGAGCAGTAGCTAAGCAACAGAATGTGCAGTCTACTAATCAAGATGAAAAACTACTACAAACTATGAACCTTACCCACAAGCGACTGGAAGTTTGTTTACAGGTATAACATGGGTCTAGTTGTCTGTTCTGTATTGAGTTCTGCACTTAACCATCACAATTCAGGTATATGTTTGCTGATGGAACTTGTCAAGAACAAAAACCATAGAGTGTTGTCTACAGCAACAATGCAAAAAGAGTATAAAGAGTTGAGGTGTATGATTTGAAGGATATTTTGTAAGTGTTTGTAGTACTTGAGTGAGTCAGGAACTTGGCCTGGTTGATTGGAAGTCTTTGTCCCATGGAATTTCAAATCTAATGCAACTAAAACCTAAACACTTAAATCAGAATAACTTCTTGGTTAAATTTCTTATAACAAAGATTTTACGTAACATTCTGAACCCTCAGAGTTGCCTGGGGTGTTAATTCTGCGTTGCTAAGTTGAGTGATGTACCAGCTGTCAAATAGAAGAAAGATGCATTTGAATTTTGAAGCAGAGCAGTTCAGGTTTCATCTGTGGTGTAAATGCATGCTCCTTCTGCGCCCCCCACCTTTTGATTTGAGGAGGCTGTGGGACAGATCTGTAGTTTGCTATTTATAAGTAGTCCATTATTACATTCTGTAAAAGCACCTCTGTTGCTGAAATAGATAAAGCCCTGTATGTCCTCATGACTCCCACGAGTGTGTACTATGTTTGGTCCTCTGCTGTTACAAAACCCACATCACTGAACCTTGTTCAGAAACTGATCAAGCTTGTGGTCATTCAAATTATTGGCTTGCATGACTTTGCATCAGCAAGCTGCTCCAAATTCTCACGGCTGCTACAAACCTCATTTTCAACCTCAGTGGATTAGTGACAGATTTATTGCACTGACACTGCTTTGCTTAAATTACTCTTTAAAGTTTTTGGCTGATACTTGCTTTGTAAAATGCATGTGAACAAGTTATGAATGGAGGAGGATTTTTCAAAAGCATTTAAGTGATTTAGATATCTAAATCTAGTTGCCTTAGATGCTTCTGAAAAATCCCATTTATGTCAGTCTACAAGTTCATTCTTGTGATATGCTGACTTCTGTATCTTTTCCCTTAGGAATTTGAACTCCTTTATTTCTCACTGAGTAGTGCAAGAATTTTTTTCAGAGCAGATAAAACTGCAGCAGAAGAAAATCAGGAAAAGAAAGAAAAAGAAGGTGAGTGAATTCTATATGTAGTATGTAGAACATTTTGGCTCATGAGAGTGTGTGCCTTAGTAGTAGGTAAAGTGCGCTTTTTTTTTTCTTTTTTCCATAGCTGCTGTCTTGCTAGTGGGTTGATTCAGTATTCCAGAAAGAGTTTTATGGGGTCAGGAATGACTGAGGAGTCATGAACAGGTCACAGAGACTGCCTTTGGAATGGGTGAATTTCAAGCTGGACTTCTGGGAGAGGAGGGTGGGACAACCACAAAAAAAACCAACCAACCACAAAAAATGTGGGACAGGGAGAATTGCATAGCTGCAGCAATACTAAATTCAGTAACATCAGCATCCTACTTACCCTCCCAATTACCAGTTTTGACAATGACAGCCTGTTCTGCACGGCCTTAACTGGTGTGAAATAAACTGGTGTTTTTCACCTGTTGTTTACCAGCTGTTTTTCAACTTAATGTATGCAGATACTGTACATGACTTTCAGATGTTTATGGTATGTTTTGGTCTACCATTGAATTATATTCAAAGGACAAGATCTTAATTAGTGGTATGGTTACTTGACTAGGTAACATGGGTAGTTTGTGCTGCATATTCGTGCTGATGTATTCTCCCTCATGAATTCTGGAAGATTCTCTTCAGTATGGGAAAACTTTTTTCAAAGAAATGAGAATGCTCCCAAGGATTAAGATATAGAAGTGCAGTTCAGTCACAAGTTGCTTGGAAACTCAGGTAGCAGTATATTAAAAATGGAATTGGTAAATAATTTTCCATTGTAGTTCTGACAAAGACACAAGTGACCTGCGAGATCACAGCCTCTGAGCCAAAGATGAGTTTTCTTCTGTACTAGGAAAACAGTTGGCAAAGAAAGAAGTCTTTCAGCATGAATTTATGCTTGATCATATTCAGTGACGTTGCTTAAATAACTGTTCAACTCAAAAAAAACAACCAACCAACCAAAAAAAAAACAACTACAAGCATTGTGATGAGTAAGAATAGACACATTACCCCAGCTTCTTTAGGAGAGCATTCTGTAGTGCATCAGTTAATTCTATTTTAGCTTAAATATTCACTGTTGTGATATATGTTCAGTTCCCTGAAGAATGTGTGTTGTGGTGAGAAAAGCTTGAAATGCATAGCAGGGTGAAAAGCTTTGAATGTGGTGATACCTTTGCTTTCTACTGTAATATTTGGACTTGGACTCTGCAAAATGTGTGTGTGTGTATGTGATCTTTACACAAGTTCTGCTGGTTGAGGAAGCCTTTCACCCCAAACACGGATTTCTTCATAGGGCTGGAACCCTTTGTGCTGCAAGGTCGAGTTGCATATGCTGACCATGGTATACTATATCAAGTGTGTTATGACATCAGCGTATATGCTAAGACTTTGTTTTTATTGTCTTGAATAAAATGTTAAACATGATCCATGTCTTTGTTTTCTGTTTTTGTAGAAGAATCTGTTAAAGCAAGCGGTGGAGATCTTTCCAACTCTACGCCTGCGGATCCTGTTGTGAAATGATGTGGCTGGTATGGGTGATGATTACTTATTCAAATAATCCATGTTCTTGTCATTATCAGTAGGGGTAAAAGCTCTAGATTTGATTTACTTGCTCTGTTAAACCCAAGAGAAAATGTACAGCAGCATACTAGCATCCAGTGAGGCTAGGTCTGCATTTGTCTCCATTTCCTGTAGAAATTTCTATTTTTCAGGAGCTTACATTATTTACAGCACTTTCTTTAGATTGAAAATAATTATATAAATTGTTGACCTTGGAGGTAGCTATTTTAAAGTACAGCTAAAAACTTACTAATTTTAGATGCATTCTTGCATCCCTAACATAGCATTTAAAAAAAAAAAAAAAAAAGAAAAAAAGACTCATAGGGCGTTGCTCTAAGATTTGAACTGGTGCACCTCTTCAACAGGAAAAAAAAAATTGAATCAAGGTATTGTGTGTTATCTGTTGTCCAAAAACTAATTCAGACATGTTTTTATGCAGTCCTGTTGTATTTAATGCAGTCACAATTACACTGTAGGTGTAACAGTGTATGTTGTGAATATATGTTAAAGCTATTACACAAAATGAAAATCCTTATTAATGTTTTATTCCACAAACCCGTATTATTACTGTAGATAGTATTTGCACGGTGGGAGCTTAGGATCCTGTCAGCCATTTGTTTTCCCCTGCTGTTTTTTCCCCCATATCAGAAAACGGGAGAACCGGAAAAGTTAACATAATAAATTACTTCTCATTTCATACCGAAGGTCTGATTTGCATCTACAGAAGTAAGGAAACCCAGAGCCAAGGCAGAACCACAATCAGCTCTTCCTTTTATGACCAGACACTGTGTGACGGGTGTCTGGAACTATTAAGTGATCTTACACTTCATGAATATGTTGTGCCTAATTGCAAGTTTCAGCCTCAATTCTGTATTTCCAAGCCTTTGTAGGTCTGTTGTACCGTCTGTGTTGTTCCTACAGTCTTACATGCCTGATTACTAACAATAATTGCACTGCAGGCTTCAGAAGCTGCTGAACACTGTGAGAACTCTGTATAAATATAACATCTGTCAATGCCTGCAAGTAGAGGTTCTAGATTGTGCAAGAGTTACTCAGATTCCTAACTTAAGTAAGTAGCTAGACTTAGCTGAACAGTAAACACCACTTTCATTAAAAGATATAGTCGTGTTTTAACCTCCCAGAACATAAAACACTTCTAGGTCTTGCTAACTAGAATAAACTACTCTAGTCGGTCCAACTAAAAGAATTACTTTTGGGTGGGGTTTTTTGGCATTCTTAGCTGTATTTTTAGACCATGCTTGCCAGCTTCTTTCATCTCTTCCATCTCTTCTAATTGCAAAAAAGGTAATTTCTTAATGGTTCAAATTGTTCCACCCACAGGAATTGTTAAGACAATTCCTGACGTACTTCTGATTCGCCCTTTCCTGCCAGTCACTTCAGCAGTCAGAACGCCAGGACAAATATTTTGTTGCAACTGGAAAGACCAGACTGATATGAAAGTCCTTTGGAAGCTTCATGGACTGTTTCAATCAGCTGGGCTCATTAACATTTTTTATTTGTAATTTGTTGTATCTGCAGAGACTGCCCTAAAGAATGCTGCATTACTTGCTTTCTATTTTTGCTTTTTTATTTTGATACAGGTGAGGGGTTTTTTTGTAATTTGTGTTCACTTTTTTTTTCTTTGACCAAATTGTGCCCGCACTGAACACTCAGTAGCGCTGCTGAGATCAGCATTCTCGCTGCTGCTGCTGATTTTCCATACTGTTGCAATTGCAGCGTACGTATATCTGTATTCCTCTCTCATCTGAAGTCACGTAAGTTCTTGGCTTGGAATGGCCAAGCACTACATTTCCTTCTTCCACAGCAACTGCAGAATCACGTATTAATGGTGTTTGTTTCCCCCAGGATGGCATTACTAGGTAGCTATGTACGGTTAAGGCATTACCCACACTCTAATAAAATCTGCACTTGTATTTCCCCTTCTCCTGTTTTTTTGAAAAGACACTGTCTCACAGAGGTAATACTTTGCAGTTGAACATAAATTGAACTGTGCATTTTCTTAATGTATGGTGTTTAACAAATCCATGTGGTTCCAGTGATGGAAATTCTATAGGGAAGACATAAGCCTATTTTTATAGAACCCTGTTTAATCTGGGAGATCTGAATGTATGCTATATGTGGCAAAAATATAAACTTAACACAATTATGTACAGTGATAATAGAGCTGCTATTGCTAATACAGGATAGTAGTTTATAGTTCCTTCTTTTTGTCATGTAGCAGCATATATATGCAGAAAGCTTTTTCTCATCTGAAATACAAGGTGGGTCCTGGATTTGGATGTCACGCACCCCTCTGTCAGTCGCATTCAATCCTTTTTCCCCTTACAAGGATCTGGAAGGGGAGCAAAATCCTTGCTGTGGTGCTACTACTATTTTCATTGCTTTTGCCCTCCTGTTCCGATTAAAGGAACAAAATGGACCCTGACTGGTCATCTGGAGATGAGACGATAAAGCAAAAAAAAAAAATCCCCCAAACTAAAGTAAATGTGCTCACTCAAAAAGGACAGCGAGGATGATGAGGTTGCTGCAAGGACACAAAACAGATCTCTAGGGTGTTTTTTCCCTTTACAACAGGCTGAAGGTCAGGTCTCTCTCCCTGGGAAGGCAGCTGCCACCACTGCCCTCGTGCGTTCAGTCTTGTGACAAGGCTGCTGCACATCCAAGTGGCAGCAGCTGCCCTTCCAGAGGTACTGCAGCCTGCTTCTGATGTGTGCTGTGCCCTGTCACGGTGGAAGCCGGGGGCTGCCCTGCCTTTCCTCCTTGCGGCATTGTGGTTAGAGGGGAGCAGCGCTGCCCCTTTGAGCCCCAAAGTCAAAAGGCATTTACATTGGCCAGTGATAAGTGATGGCCCCAGCAGCACCCAGCTGGTGTTGGCTTCACTGGGGAGTGAACTGCTGGTGCTGAAGGGTAGATGCTGCAGGTCCTAATGTGGTCTGTAATCAGAAGTAAATTGGAGTTTTCATCTGATGTCCATCAACAACAGCTGTTTTCAGCTTCTCAGGTACAAAGGACCAAATGTAACACTTACTTCATGTTTCCTAACTCATTGTACAAAAGGGTATTTTGTTACCTCAGTCTCTTTGGTTTGTGAGTAGAGAACATTATGTACATAAAACTGTGTTAATAAATGCAATTTTGAGAACCTCCTTCTTAGTGTCTTCAGTAAAATCAGTTCAGCAGGTCTTCATTTTTTTTTAATAAGACAGCTTCAACTTTTATTCACGAAGTTTTTCTGTCAGTTACTAACAGTTTTCTTCCACAGTTCTTTTTAACATTCAACAAACAGCTACATTGAATTTATTCCATGTCAAACACTTGCAAACTGGGATTTCTCAGATGCTGTAGCACAGATTCTGCTTACAGAAAATCTAGTTACTTAGTAAGTGAGTGAGAAGAGTTATGTTTGAGGAATTTCTGCCATTTGTTCTGGTTACCTTATCTTGATTAATACAAACTCTGCCACAGATTACACCCCCTCCCACTAACTCCCATTTATTTTGTTCACTTTTGTTTGTTCTTGCAAAGTATATTTTCTCATATTTTCAGGTCAAACTGGGAGAAAATCTAAACTTATTAGCCAAATGTATCTATTGTCTAATTTTAGGAAGGTACTATGAGACTAGTCAATATAGAGTAGACTTACAATCTAGCATTTTATTGCTCAGTTTTTTTAAAACCAAAGATTGCTGGTAGACTCAGCTGTTGCATGTCACCATAATGTTAAAAACACAAAGAATTCTTATTATAAAAGTACTTATTTGTCCTACAATTATCATCTCTGCCAACTTAACTTTTAAGAAACCTAACCATAGAAAAACTGCACACGACCGACACCCCATTTGTTGACTACTTCTGATGTTTGCGTGTCAGTGGTATTTAGAATAATAAGTCAAGGAGGTACATTATGTCCATTATTTAATTACAGAATGTGTGAGTGCGGTCCCCATGAAGGTAAGAGTAGGCACTTAGATTTTGTTTTGTAAGCTTATTCTAGATGCAATATAAAAATAGATTATATTAATAGGAAAAATTTAGTGTTTAACAAACTTTTGTAAATAGACTAGCACAAAAGAGAAATCGTTACACTTAAACTAGACTAAAAATAACTTCATCTGAAAATAAAGTAAATAGTGCATTTTTAACCTTCATTCAGATGCACATAATCATGCAGACTATGAAAATTGACTATGGTAGGAAACTTCAGGCCTGATATTTGTTAAAGGAGCTGACTGACAGTTTACAGCTTGCACTAATTTCAGTGGAAGTGTAGGCTCCTTGCCATGTCAATCTGAAGAAATGACATTAACCCTTTGTGGCTGACAGCTGTGCTCTCCAGCTGCCAGCAGCAAGGGGCTGATGCTGAAACATTCCCCAAGATTGTCAGCTTCCCAGGCACACCTACACACTACACATTCACAAATGCCAAAAGCCTCAAAGGCCGAGTCCTGCTGCTGTTCCACTGTAAATCCGGAGGAAGCCCCACTGCAAAGAGGCCGGGCTCGCTCTAGCAGGAAGACAGAAGCCAGCCTCAAGTGCACGCAGATGACCGAAAACCAGAGATTCTTGCAAAATGACTCCCTGCTTTTCCTGCTCCCACACAGGCTGCAGGAAACGACAAGAGGGGGGTTTTTATGCTTCTGATTCCTCCCCTTCTTCATGCGTGGCTCCATCCTCTTCTGACTGATCATTCAGAAGCATGAACTTTCCATCATTTGTTAATGGCACAGACTTCATTAGCTGAGCTAATGCTTCTGGGTCCTGAAGAAAAACAAGAGAGTTCAGCGGGCTGCAGCAATCACTGAGGAGCACGCAGTTTTCCCACTACTTCTTAATAAGGTTTTGAGGTTTGTCTGTTTTTTTTTTAAGTTATAAGCTTTCCTCTAAAGGTTTGAAACATAAATAATCCCTTTTGGTTCAGTAAAACCATCCCTTGGCTATATAAGAGGAAAAGAGAAAAAAAAAAGTCATTCACTGTGAACCTTTATTTTGCTGTTCTTATTTGGCATTAATATAATTACTGAAAAACAAAGAGAAAAGTAACTGTCTAAATAAATCATTTATCATGCCTGTGACTAAAAGCTTATTCCCCCAACTTGTTCTGAACTGTTAGCAGCAAAAATGGAGAGCGAATATTAATGTATTAAGTGTCACATCTTTGTATCAATAACATTTATCTAGAAGGGGCTAGGTAACTTTGCCATTCATTTCAAGTGGAAAAACACTGTGTTTGTCCTCCCTAAGGCAGGAAGGAATATGAGTTTTTAGAAGTAAACAGCAAACAGCAATGTGTGTGATTTACACTTCTCCCCAAATAGTTTGAGGTTTTTTGAAAACTTTGCTCACCTCTTCCTTTCAAACATGAACAACTGGATTTGTATAGTTCTGAATTTGACTTAGGGTGGCAATTTTTATCTCAAATCAAGCTACTGCAAAGTCAAACTGAGTTTATTTTTGCTTGACCGACCCAGGGGCTGTGTTAAATAACGTCAGCAAAGCTTTGTTATTAGGGGGAAGAGCTCTTCTTTTTTTCTTACGCACACCAGAGGTACCTGGATGGTGCCACCAAAACAGAATATGACATATCACAAGAGACATGGGGAATGAAACAAACTTACCTTCTGTGCCTCAATGATTTCTTTTCCCAAGCTAATGGCGTAGCAAATCTAAAAAAAAAAAAAATATACGTAAGGTTCACACTTGTTTTGGTTTTTTTGTTTCTTAATTGGGACTAAAACATAGATGTGTCCATGCAAACTTAGTCTTAAATACAGGTCTAAAAGCAGAGGTGGAGTAGCAATTCACTATGCTAACTACATAAAAATAAAACAATCTTGGGTTCTGCTTCAGAGCTCACTTAGGCTGGCAAATCTTTGTCACTCAACTCAGTTTTATTCACCAAACTTTTATTTCCAAACCTGGGGCATCTTTTCCAGTGCGTGTTAGAGTGTTACTGTTTTTTAAGACAAAAACTCTACAGCACATTCCTTATTTCTAATAGTGTATTATTATCAGATGCAGCAAGCAGCCAGCTGTGTTAACAGACAGGATGGCTGACTCGTCTTTGAAAGCGTTACAGATGTACAAATCTCAACATAGCTGACGTTCATTTGTGCTAGTGCTGGTGCTAGACATGCGCTCTCCTCTCCTAATGGTGGCATGAGCAATCACAACCTTTCCTCCTTGTTGTACATGCTGCTGCATTATCTATAAAGTTGGTCCTTTGTAGACATAAGCCATCAAAGGCTTGCATTTTAAGGCATGTTTTCTTGGCAAGAAATCGAGTTGCTCTTGCTTCTATAGCACCGTTTCCCAGATGTCTAAGCCAAGAAGCCTAAGACCCGTTTTCTAAACAAAGTATTTTATGAGATGTTATGCAAACCTTTTCCCCTTCTGTGTTGCTCTCAAAAACGTATGCGCTCATGGATTCTTCTCCCAGAGTCTCACTGAGATGGACCACAAAGCCAATCAGTCGCCTGTTATCCTGATGAGCAGCAAACTGTGTCACGGTGGCAAGTTCAAACTGGAAAAGTGTAATACAGAGGGGTTTTGTTTGTTTTTTTTTTAACCAGCATTTGGTTAGCTTGGTCAAGAGCTCAAGTTCATGAGACTGAGTACTCAATGCTGTGGCAGAAAACCAAATTCAAACAAAAGTTACTTACACTTGTTCGTGTAACTTGGGTTTGAGGATCTATCAACCTGCAATTATGTGTATGGAAAACAGAAGAAAGTAAATTATTTTAGTGATTCTTAGTAATTTCAAGGCGCTTTATAATAGTAGGGCAATCACTATAGCAATTTTACAGATGAGGAAACATATGCACAGAATCAAATGCTTTATCTGTGATTTCAAGTCGGTCAATGACAAGGTTCAACTCCAGCCCCTGGCTCTCAGCTACCTGACACGTATAGGTCATAGTGTCTTTCTGAATCACTAATTTGGTAAGGATCTTGAGCATATAGGCTAATACACTAATATGCATATGGACACCGATGCACTCCAGCTAAAGTGAATGTCTTGTTTCAACATACTCTACAGTGACAACGCTGACAACAGGACAGCTGTGGCTCTCTTGCTGTCACTATGTGTAAGGAAAGAGAATCTTCCGTTGCACTTTTTTTTTTATTTTTATTTTTAATCTTTTTCTGTATCTTTGTGGGGCCTCATAGCCCCGCTGCATCCTCTACATTTTGGTAGGATGTTCTTACAAGTTAGTCAGGAGGATGATTTATAGATACTAGAGAGTAAGAAGAGAGACATTTTCACTAAGTAAAGTGAATCTCAGGATCTCGCTCCCTCAAAGGATGTATCTTTTGGAAAAACAGAACCAAAGTTACTTTACTAATCACAAGTTGTATGAGAAGAACAGAATGCTGACAAGTTGATGATTTTACAGTACCTCAAGTTCTTGCTGGTGACCATGAGATGGGATTCAGTCATACGGAATATGTTGTGAATGGCACGAGCAGCTAACACTTGTCTCATAGCTTCATAAATCACCTCGCTTGTGTCATCGGACTGAACAGCCATAGAGCCTAAAAACCGAACTACGAACATCTGCTGCAAAAGTGAATCTGGAAGATAAAAAGCGTGACTTCCTTCACTGTGCTACTTCAATTTTCCAGTAGCTGAAGTTATCAATGAAATTATTTTTCTCACTTTGGAAATTCAACAGTGAACCTGTGGGTGGTGACTGCAGGGGTGGCGACTTCCTGCTGTGAGCCAGGCAGTGCTCTGACCCAGTTTTAAAAAGTGCTCGAACTGGCAGCGAGTAGGGAGGGAAAAAATAAATCACAGTTGCTTGGAAGCTTTAAAAGCATAACTGGTCCTTTATGCCTTATTTGATTAGATAGTAAAATTCACTTGCGTATCTTGTTATCAGGTGCACATAAACTGTGATAAATTTAAGATTGTGCGCAAGCCTCGGCTTTCATCAAATTAACTCTTATCTTTAAACCTTGTACATTCCTCGTTTTCTTCTATGTCCTTCTGGCCTTCCATACAGCTGCGTCCCATGGGGTTTTCATAAATCCTTCCTTGCTCATTGACTATCACCATAAGACTCCTATTTACAACTAGGTAGCCGTTACATGACAAAGCCATCATCTGATCAGGCTCCCTTTACGGTTGGCGGTGAGCGAGGTAAAGCAGGGTGACTCCTGCCGAACACGACTGTCCAAAGGCCACAACAGCTGTGTCTACATTGCACAAGACACCACAAAGACTGTTAAGCATCAGCTTGAGCTGAGCTTACGCAGATCCGCTTGTGCAGTCTGAGACGCGGGGCAGTCACCGGAGCACTGTACTCCCTGTGCTGCAGTGGAGCAGAGCACTGCTGCTGCTGCTGCTGCCAGTGCGGAGGTGCAGCTTGCAACCATCCCACCTCGCAGCAGCACAGCACGTGCAAGCAACAGTGTTCAGACCGGGAGGTTCTGCTTTGATTCAGTGAGCCGTTTTCTGACAGGGGCTATTGGTTCCGGACAGCAGCTGTAATCGGCACAGAGGAAGAGGGCAGCCAGGGTCTGAGCCTGGTGTGCTGGTAGAGGAAGGTCTGAACTGCTGACTTTTACTGGGACGTCACTGGGAGGAGAGAGTGGGCGGCAACGGTGAGAAACTCTCTTTGCTGAAAGAGACCTGTCGTTACCAGTAGCTATATGCTGGGGCTCTGTGAGATCTACATTGTGGATTTCAGAGGACAGGTGGGTAAGAAACGGCTACTAAGCAGCCTCGAACTTGAGCACAATTATAATACAGTCCCATCAAACCCTTTCTAGTAAGATCAACAGCTACTTTTTAAACAAAAGCAAAGAAA